ACTTGTCCTTTTGTAACTGGCATATTCTACTTAGCATTAATGTCAAGGTTCATCCAGTGTTGTAGCATGTCAGAATTTCCTTTTAAAGCTCAATAATATTTTACTATGTATATAAACCATATTTTGTTTACGCATTCATCTGTCAAGGGACAGACACTTCAGTTACCTACACCTTGTGACTACTGTGAATAGTGCTCCTATAAACATCATTTGTACAAGTATCTTTTCACTTCTCTGCTTTCATTTCTTTAGAGTACATACCCTGAAGTGGAATTGCTGGATCAAATGGAAATTGTTGAACTTTTTGAGAAACCAACATACTCAGATGATCTTATTTTTCAAGTGTTTGGAGTCTGTTTTTTGGCAGTAGATGGAGAGGGTGAATCTCTTTGTTGCTCCCCTAAACTCCCTGGGACCATTAAGTGCCATGATAGAAGCACGGGTTTGCTAACTCAAAGGAGGGACACATTTCAAAGCAGGATCCCTGTGTCAGGTTTTCATGTAGTAGTTGGTATACTTGTATTTTCCTGGGCAATAGCCAATGAATCATCTGGCTCTTCTGTTCTCATTTAGAAAACTATAAAATGAACAAAATGATGCATGCTCATCTTCTTTATAATATGGTCAAAATAACACATATTTTGCAAAATCTGTAACTTTTAAAAAAAGTGTCAAAAAATCTGTAACTACCTGATGTGAAGTACCAACTCACTGGAAAAGACCCTGATGCTGGGAAAGATTGAGGGCAAGAGAAGGGAGTGGCAGAGGATGAGATAGTTGGATGTCATCACCAACTCAATGGACATGAGTGTGAGCAAACTCTGGAGATAGTGAAGGACAGGGAAGCCTGGAGTGCTGCAGTTCATGCGGTCACAAAGAGTTGGACAAGACCAAGTGACTGAACAACAACGTAACTGTAAATTCAGAAAATTTATATATTGTCATATTTTAAAGAGTTCATTCTAAGCATTAATGTTGTTCTTTCAATTCTTGAACTTGAGAATTATTTTTATTCATGTAATTATGCAGTTAAAGGTCACAGTAATAAAACTAGCTTACATGCTAACTTGAGATTACATAGATCTTTAGAGCTACAGGTTGAGTCACTTTCATAAGCATTAGTTGTTTTATTAAAGGCTTGAATGAGTCAAAAAATAGAATATACTATTCTGAACATAAAATAAAATCCAAATATATTATTCACTATTTCAAATTATGAAATATTTTAATTATGAAAGTGTAAAAAATAATATAATCAACTTCTGTGAACAGAACACCCAATTTAAGAGCTAAAGTGTCACCCTTCAGTTGAATTGTGTACTGTATACTCAAATATTCAGTATTCTAAGTTTGATGTTTATAATTCTTAGGTATTCATTCACTTGTAGCTAAACAAAAACTTCATCAAATTATTTTTGGCTGTCCTGGTCTCTGTTGCTGCACAGGCTTTTTTTCTAGCTGTGGTGCACAGACTCCTCATTGTGATGGCTTCTCTTGTTGTGGAGCAAAACTTTAGTTGCTGTGTCGCATATAGGATCTTACCAGACCAAGGATCGAACCTGTGTCTTCTGCATCGGCAGGTGGATTCTTTACCAGTGAGTCACCAGGGGAGCCCTAAACAAAAACTTTTAAACTCCCTGTAACAAACTATCTGCTGAATCATTTTTAACTGGAACTAAAATTATGGAGTAAAATAAAAATCTGAGACATATCACTACTTTTTGACATCAACAACAATGAAGGTGTTTATCTTTGCTATTCTCTTACATACCTTACTTCTCGGCCCAGTGCTATTCCAAAATTCCTTTTTTTTTAAACCTAGACCTGTCTTCCCAGTACTGAACTTGTTTACACTTCCAACATCAATATGTAATATCCATGTAACTGTTTTGGGAATTACACTTTTCTGTCCTGTTAAACTGCATTGGTCTATACTGGGTTGCTGCATTTGTCTTTTGCATGAGGGTATTTTGGAGTCATATTTACTAGTGATACATATTAGTATAGGGCTTCCCTGGTGGTTCAGTGGTAAAGACCTTCCTGCCAATGCAGGAGATGCAGGTTTGATCCCTGAGTCAGGAAGAGTCCCTGGAGGAGGAAATGGGAACCCACTCCAGTATTCTTGCTTGGGAAATTCCATGGACAGAGGGGCCTGTCAGGCTACAGTTCATGGGGCTGCAAAAAGTAGGACATGACTGAGTGTGCACACACATGCACAGATTAATATAGGAGACATAAGAGAAATATATTGCATAAGATTCAGTATTAGCTAGACAAGATGAATCAACAGGTTAAAATCCAACAACATGGGGATCTATAGGAATATAGATAATAAATCCATTGAGTAAGTAAATGAAGGGAAAACCATCACCGAACAGCATTGTATGTTGGGACTGGAGATTTTAGTGACCATAAAGTGAATCAGTGATATGTGGCTCTCAAAACAGCTAAAATAATATGCTTCTTTAAAAAGTATCCAGAACAAGGGAAGTAGTACTGTTGGAGTGATATCACATCTGTAGTTACCTTAGTGCGATATATAATAAATTGCAACTTAGAGCAGAATTATCAGGACAGTGGGAGAAATTTGAAACAGTATTATAATAGAAAATGGTGAGAGCTCTGGTAGTATTTATTCAGTGCTGTTGATAACAGCTTAAAAGTTAAATAGCTGAAAAGTTATGTAAAACAAGCATTAAATTTTGGCTAAATGTAAAACAGGTTATAAATTCCATTACAAAAATGCAAACCTTGTATTTTTCTAAGGACTGAACAGAGGCATAGTGGTCAATGAAAATTGAAGGTAAAGGGTGGGGTTGAATTACACAGCCTCTTATGGCAGAAAGTGAAGAGGAACTAAAAAGCCTCTTGATGAAAGTGGAAGAGAAGTGTGAAAAAGTTGGCTTAAAGCTCAACATTCAGAAAACTAAGATCATGGCATCTGGTCCCATCATTCCATGGGAAATAGATGGGGAAACAGTGTCAGACTTAATTTTTGGGGGCTCCAAAATCACTGCAGATGGTGATTGCAGCCATGAAATTAAAAGACACTTACTCCTTGGAAGGAAAGTTTTGACCAACCTAGATAGCAAATTGAAAAGCAGAAACATCACTTTGCCAACAAAGGTCCGTCTAGTCAAGGCTATGGTTTTTCCAGTGGTCATGTATGGATGTGAGAGTTGGAACGTGAAGAAAGCTGAGCGCCGAAGAATTGATGCTTTTGAACTGTGGTGCTGGAGAAGACTCGAGAGTCCCCTGGACTGCAAGGAGATCCAACCAGTCCATCCTGAAGCAAATCAATCCTGAATATTCATTGGAAGGACTGATGCTGAAGCTGAAACTCCAATATTTTGGCCACCTCATGCGAAGAATTGACTTATTGGAAAAGACCCTGTTGCTGGGAGGGAATGGGGGCAGGAGAAGGGGACGACAGATGATGAGATGGTTGGATGATATCACTGACTCGATGGACATGAGTTTGAGTAAACTCCATGAGTCAGTGATGGACAGGGAGGCCTGGAGCGCTGTGATTCATGGGGTCGCAAAGAGTCGGACACGACTGAGCAACTGAACTGAACTGAAGGTCTTTTCCAACTCTTGGCATCATAGTTTTGTAAGGCTAATTCACACAGATATTAGTTAAGGAGACAGCTATGCCCCTCAAGACTTTTCTAGTTTAACAGACAATAGTGACATAAACCTAACAAATACCATTCTATGCTTAAAAACAAAAGTAAAAGGTGGGGCAAGTGAAAAGAATACAGGAGTTAACTTTGGAAGTTCCACTGGGAACTCCCATTGGTCAAAGCTGGAGGACAATTTGAGCAACAAATTAATAGTGTTATAATGGATTATAGACAAAGAATAAAACATCCATGAGCTCATAATATAAATGACTGAATAAATAAATGGGAGAGAAGGGAAAAATCTTCCTTACAAAAGAATTCCAGTAAATACATGTAGAAGGAATGACTGAAATAAAAAACTACCATTGGAATTCCAAAGTAATAACTGATGCAGTAAAGAGTCACCAATGCATGCTAAAATTAGTAGCATTTCTGAACTCAGACCTATTTAGAAATTGGTATTATGTGTCCTGACTTGAAATTAGGAGCAATTATAGCATAGCAATTGATTTTATTCCAAATAATAGTCATTATAGATTTTTAAAAAGTCTTATTTTACACTAAACTATACAAATTTGTGAAATTAGGAACAGTTTTCATATTTACCATTCAACCACTCACCTGTTAAGGCTAAAAAATTATGAGTTATTTTAGTTCCCTTCCCCCTACTTACTTTCAATGTATCAGTGTTTTGTGAATTGTACTTGCTGAGTGTATCCTGTATTTTACCACTTCTCACCACTGCATCAGCTAATTCCCTAGTCTGAGCTACCTCTTGCCTGTAGTAGCTTCCCAGCTGTCCTTCCTGCTTCCCATTCCCTTACATTTTATTTTCAATATTAGCCAGTGACCTTCACACACACCCCGACCACCACAAACCCCCAGGTCCCTTTCCTCTCCTTGCAAAGCTCTCTCACGGCTTTGTGAGGCCTTGGCCGACCCCGACCTACTTCTCTGAGCTCATCTGCTCCCGTTCTTGTCCTTGCTGCTTATCACTCCTTTCCAGGCACAGTGACTCCTTCAAACATACCACCTCCTTCCTGCCCCAGAGCCTTAGTACCTGTCATCACCAGTACTGGAAGGCCTCTTTCCCCAGATCTTTGTATTGCCTGCTCATTTATATCAGGAAAGTCTCTGTCTAAATGTCACATTAGTTAGGGTCTTTATGGAAGACTTTTCTGAGGCAGGCTTCCCTGCCTTTTACTGGTTTATTCCACGCCCCTCCCCCCACAGCATTTATCACTATGTAAAATAATATGTATTTGTTTACTCATCTGTTCTCCAACTTGAATGTAAGCACATAGGGGAAAGGACCTGGTTTGTCTTGCTATAAACTGTATCCACAATACCTAAAATAATTCCTACAATGGAGTGGGCCTTCAAATATCTATTTAATAAGTATCTTTTAACACACTGAAGGGCTAAAGTAGAGGAAACAACAGAAGGCCTATATTAGAGGCAGATTTCTGTCTCTGAAGTCTGTGGAAAAAAGTTTAAGCCTTTTGAGATAAACTTTAAAATGAAGAAAAATGAAAGAATACTTTTTAGCTGCCTTAATTTTACAAGGGCTTCCCTGGTGGCTCAGATGGTAAAAAATCTGCCTGCAATGTGGGACACCCAGGTTTGATCCCTGGGTTGGGAAGATCCCCTGGAGAAGGGAATGGCTACCCACTCCAGTATTCTTGCCTGGAGAATTCCATGGAAAGAGGAACCTGATGGGCTAGAGTCCACAGGGTTGCAAAAAGTCAGAGACCACTGAGCCACTAACACTTTCACTTTCAGTTTTACAAATTCAGTTGCTTAAAACTCAAAAAACTTAAGCATAACCTAGTGACTGAATTTAGAAAGCTTTTGCAATAACCTTACACCAAAGAAAAATTTTATTAAAGTATAGATTACTGGTTATTTAAAAATACAAACATACAAAGGCATTATCATACAACTGATTTCTAAACTCAACACTTTTAAAATACAAAACAAAGATCATTACCCCTAAGAGTCAGTTTGAAACAAACTGACTTTTAAGTTGGTTTTATAATTCTTTTCACTCAATCTTGCTTACAAATGTTACTAGGTTTTTCAGTTTCATTCCATATCAGAAAGTTTTTTTGACATGTTTACTTCTCAAAGTAGTATATAGTTATTTCTTGGAATTAATATTAGCAACTATAGAAAGCTTCTCTATGTGACAAAAATTCAATATGGTTGCTGCTTTGGAAATAGTTATTTCCAAATAACTATTTTGAGTTATCTACACTAAGACTCACATATTGAAAGGTCAAATATGAATGGGTAAATGATGGGGATTGAGAGCACGAGGACTAAGAAAAGATGATGTTATCTTTTACTGCAGACCTGCTACAAGAAAACTCCATTATTTACTTTGATACTATTACTAGAGAAGCAGTTTCTGCCAGATCACAGGTTGGCTAGGTAGTTGTCCATTTTAATTTTCTTTACTAAAGAATGGCAGACAGCAACAATTAAATTGCTCCACCAAATAAGCAGAGACTTTTAAGTTATCATATACTTTAATTATGAAAAATAAATTATTTTAATTGGTTTAGCAGCCTTGTATCTGGAAAGGCAGCAAAACCCACTCTGTTCCAAAATTAGAAGGCCAGCTCAGAGGCTGCTTCTAAGGTGCCTGACTATCTTCTATCATCAATCAGTCATGAAAGTGGACTTTCATGAACTCAGTAATAAATGTAAAAATAAACTCATTTATCAAACAATGTTGAGCCTGCAAAAGCAAAAAAGTTCATAAGGTAGGAAATGGTTTGTTTAACACAAAGGATATATATCCTCTTATATAACACAAGAGGAATATGTATGGTAGTAAAAACAATTTATAATAAACTTGTAAAGAGATGATTCTGGTTTACATGTAAGTCGGCTTAAACTGACCATGACTGAATGATTGAAAATTTTCTTCTCTGAACATAATGCCCATTCATTATAAGCTAAGCCAGACTTAGTTTCTTATAAATCTCTATTTCCTTGGATTTATCGACTACACCCTTACTTTACAGCCATTTAACTTATAAGCTGGGCCTGCCCAGCCTGCCCATAAAGCCTCTCTTCAGAAAGATACAAGATGCATTAAACAGAGGCATCTTCCTGTAAGAATCTGTACTTCAAAACAGCCTAGGAAGAACTAGCAACTGGCTTTCCAATGTAGCTACCTCTCATTTCACATTATGCAGTTTACTAACCACTCCTTCCTTACAGAAAACTCAGTAGCTGTAAAACTTTTTGTTCCATTTCAAAACATTTCAATACTTATTAATTCCAAAGATCCGAACACCATGTAGCTGTGGCATTTTGGGAATTAGCACACTCAGGAGAGAAGCTGTGTTTAGGATGAAGTGAGTTGTATCATACTTCGTATAGAAACTTGCCAGAAAATATCTGTAGAAACAAAAGTTAAAAATATATATATATATAATATCTAAAAGTGAAAGTGCTTAGAAATCTTTAAATATTTAAAGGTGGGGAAAAGGCCACTGAAACATAAATATCTAAAAGTAGAGCCATTTTTTTTGAGCACTAGAACAAGAGCAAACATTTTAGTTTGGGGGCCTAAATAAATTTTAATTTGAGACTGAAATATTGGTTGAATAGAGGCATATATACACATTTTGCATTTTTGCAATTGTGTAAAATGTATTTAATGGAAGACAATTACTACTTAGCATCCTTTAAAGCAGAAGGCTTTCAAACTAGGGTTCTTATGCTTCTTGAAACTTCAGGTATAGTTTTGTATTAATGTGTATATATCTAAAGAGAAGATCCAGATTCAAAGCATCCATCATATTCTCAAATGGTTTATTGTGACCCACCAAAAGGTTAAAAGCCACTGCTGTAAAGCTGTGAAAAACAAGGTGTTAGAGCTTTAGTATAATTTGTAATAGCATCTTTGAAAGCAAACAAATACTTGATTGCCCTTTTGATGTTCTTTTTTCCATACTGTAGTTGAACAGGTATATAACCAGTATAATTGGCAGCTTGAAAGACATTACTGTAAGATTCCAGCTATTTTTCTATAACTGAACATCTGTGTGTATATATTCAGGATATCCAATATCTGAGAATTTGTTTTAAGAAGCCTAAGCCACCTTTAAGACCATAAACCATCAATTCAGAATGAAGACACATCAAGAAGCCACCAAGAGTATCCTAATATAAACAGGATGTAAAGACTGTAAAGAATAAAGCATTGTACTGTGCTTTATACAGAAGGCTGACTAGTTATACTCAAGATTTTTAACTATACAGAAGCTAGGCACACATAAGCCCCACATTATTCAAGGGTCAACTGTATTATAATGCAATCTTCAACATGTTATAGATGAGGATACTGAGACTTTCAAGAATATGGCTGAAAATCAGATAGCTAGAGGGCAGTAGAGCTAAAATACAAATTAAGGGCTCTCTGAATAGCCATTATTCTTGTTACTGCATTAATCTTTGTTAGATCATACATATTTTTCTTTTGATATGTCAGGCTAAAATAATTAAAAACTTAAAAAATTTCCTCTTATGTGGAACAAAATCTACATAAGGAAAAAGAAATCTACTACTTTATGATTACTTCATTCTTTTCATTTGAAAATGCCTTCCCTATCTTAAACTTCAATGTAACACCTAACCTACCTTCAGTTTCATTTTAAGGGATTCTAATGCCTCGACTCAATAGACACGAGTTTGAGCAAACTCTGGTGAGGGACAGGGAAGCCTGATATGCTGCAGTCACGGGGTTACGAAGAGTTGGACGCGATTTGGCAACTGACCAACAACACCTCTAAGAAGTCTTTCCAGTTACTGCAGACCACACTGATTCTATAATGGATATGTAATTATATATATATATTCTTTGTGATGGGGTGAGTGATTGGGCTATATGTGAAATATCTATTGTATGCAAGCAGCTGAGTGTAGAATTCAAAGCAGTCTATGCACTTGTAAATTCTTTGCAGAAATAAACAAAATAATAGAGAAATAATATAAAGTGGCATAAATAAGGGCTATATAACTACTACTATGGAAGTTCAAAGCAGAGTATTTCACTGAAGGTTGGTTGCTAAGGAAAAGACCTCACTGAGATGGTCACAATTTAACTCTTGAAAGAAAAACAAGACATATATTAAGAAAGGAGAAAGCATTTCAGGTGGAAAAAATGACTTGAACTAAGGCATAGAAATAGGATTATACATTAACATATTTAACAAATGCTGCTTAGAAGAGTGTGGCTAGGTCGGAGTTGGGTTAAGGTAAAATATTCACATAAAGGAAAAATAAAATAGGAACCATTTTGTGGAGGATCCTGAATATCAGAAATTAGGAGGAAATCAGATGCCAGATATAAGGTTAGATGCTTTACAGATAGATATGATCTCACATATTTTTTACATCATCAGATTGAGTTAGGTACCGTTGGCTACAATTTTATTTATGAGCAAACCAAGCAGGCTGATTGACAGCTACATGATTCAACCCAGGTCTGTCCTACAATGAAAGCCTAACTTCTCTTTTCTCTAAACCATACTGTCTCTCCCAAGGAGTTTGAGCATTCAAATGTGGCAGGTAGTCAATGAAATTCATCTGAAATCATCCAAATCTTTGTTGAGAGAGATTAATCTGATAGTGGACAAAAGAACAAGATTATGTGTTTAGTTTTCTTGCAAGCAGCTTAAGAAAATGAACTAGAATATATTTGACTTGTACATTCTAGAATGTCTTGGCATTATGAGGAACATGTAATGTTGTCTCCATATATGTTTGACCGAAGTGAAAACTGGTTTTATCAGTTTGTTAAAAATTTTGCCTGTATTTTATATTCTCTATGAAGTAACAATTTATTGATAGATGTTTTCAACAAAATAATGTTTCTATTTCAAATTTAATAAAAGAATGGCTTTATCTTATCCAGACCTCCTCATAACTGAAAATTTCCCCCACTTACAGAATTATTGGAGAAATTGTGAAAAACTTCCGTGAAGATGTAAACTGTACTCCATAGTCCAGTTGTTCCCAATGAGTTAGGAGCCTTGCTTTACCCTGGTCGGGAGTTTCAAAAGGTGTTCCTTTTACCGCATGCAAAAATACATACATCCCCTGAAAAACAAGCAAGGGGGTATAAAGTTAGTATCAAATACAAAATGAGTATTTGTCACTAAGCATTTAATATAGTTCCAGACTGTCAGACTGCATAATAAACTTAACAGCTCAAGTTTTAAGATTTCATATTATTGTGAAAGACTATGGCCAGTTTCTTCATAGTAAAACTAAACTTCTGTGTGCTTATATGGAAATATTATTTGGTGAAAACCACTATAAAGTCAACCAAAAGTAACTTGTTTTCATCTCTTATTAAACTGAAAATAAATGAAAAGTACCATTAGGGTAACCTTGCATCCTTACATTTAGATTTTCTAATACATTTCCTATTAGGAAATAGGATTTCCTTATCTCCAATGTGTAGGAAAGTTTAGTGTGTTATCTTAGTAAGTCTGATGATACTTATATAATGATAAAAACATATAAATTGACAAATATAATAATAAACTGTATCAGGGAAAATTGTTTTGAAAATATTTAACATTAGTCTTTGTCTCAATAGTTCTTTTTCAAGATGGTTTAAACAAAGATGGTTTGATATACTAGGTATAATGTTCAACATAATCTGCTTTTAAAATCACCACTGTAACTCAATAGTGTGTTTTTAGAAGGTAGTTTTTAAAAATCAAAGTAAAAAAAATTACTAAAAGCCATTCTGGCCAGTGATACGTTTAAGTATCTAATTTTGTGGTTAATTAGGAAAAAAAAACAATGTATACTAGATTTGGTTTCCTGGAGATATCCACTTAGATTTATAGGTAACAGGATTACCATCTAAGGCACTGGTAACAGAATAAAGCACATATATTATTGTGGAACAGTTTTACCCAATAAAGTCATGATGTGATATCATTTTTTTTTAACTTCAACTTTTAATAAATATATGGAAAAAATAGAAAACTTAAGTGATTTGAAATTTTACATTATTATTAATAGGTTAAGACAGCCCTTCTTTAAAGCTTAATCTACCTACTTCCTACTTATTCCATTAGGCAGTTTAAAAGTTGTTTATCTGCAATAACACAGAAGCAACAGAAGCATGGATTCATGTTCAATTGGATGTAAATCTACAAATATTTAATAAGTGGCTAATATGTATAGAACACAGGACCTGTATACATATATGAAACTGAACAAGACATATGCAACCCCTTAAAGTTCAATCTTCTGAGATGGTAAGGAAAAAAAAAGATATGCATAAACAACTACAATGTAGGACAGAAATTTCTGTCAAAGGTATAATGAAATACAGGAAGCGCAAAGCAAAAGCCTTGATGGTACCTTGTCAACGACCTTATTCTTGAAGGTTCAGCTCAGTGATAATTCCTTAGTGAAGCCCTTCACATTAGCATTAATTAACCTCTTCCCTATGTGCATATATAGAATTTTATTGAAAATAGTTTTATTATAGCACAATACATTGTATTGAAGTTATTTATATAATGTTTGTTTTCCCATTAGCCTGAATACCTCAGGAACAGGGACTCATACAAAGCAACTATTAGATATTAAGCCAAGATGACATTAAACCAAGGAATGTTTATTCTGTAAGCACAAGGAAATCATTTTCACATTGGTTTTAAAACAGAGTATGAAACAGAAATTCTATGCTTTCAAATTCTCAGGAGAATATGACCTCCAAAAGTTGAGAATTTCTGCTTTAGACCGTATATGTATTAGAAGTTATTGAAAAGAAAAAATAATTCTGTCATTATGTCCTTCAAACCACGCGTACTCACCAGGGTCTAGAAGATAATATTCAAACAGTTTATGTATTCTTTTTAATGAAAAAAAATCTTATCTAGCCATTTATCTTCTACTCCATTATTTTTGCTAAATTTTTCTATAAAATTTTAGTGATGATTTATACCCACATTAAAATAATTAGGGAAATAAGTATGTAGCTCATGATTAGCCCTTAACAAATATTTACTGACTCAAAGTGAAGAGAGTTTTCTTTCATTTTAAAAGCCAGGATAAGAACTTTGTTAAGTATTAAAACTTCTATGAGTGAACTGTAGCTCTAAGTAAAAACAACTGCTGTAGGTTTCTAGTATATAGTTTATAAAGACAGAGGCCATGTTTTTTCTAACCATGGATAACAATTAGGTCTATTTTTCCATATTAAAAAGCGTGAAGTACATATTTCACACTTTAATTGGTTTAATGTAGGTTAACATCAAAAGAAATTTACATTTGGCATCATGTAATCGCTACATTTATGGCTGGTTAGTCAGGTTTTTAGTATGGAGGACTAAAAGTCACAAGTTTACTTCCCAACATGTTCTCAAGTACTTGTCCTTTGTCCATGGCCATATACTGTGTCTCAATCTCAGTCAACCAACTTGAAAACATGAAGTGAGCAGATGACTTCTAAAGTTCATTTAATACATGTGCCACTGGAGAAGGGAAAATTATGTGAGAACAGACATAATTTATTCAGCAACATTAAATAGGTCTTTAAAGATATAGAAGTTAAAAAACAGAAAAGAGATAAATTCCTAATTATAAAAGTATGATAAACACATGAAAAAAGAATGCAGCATGGGAATTTTGTAGCTTCCAAGATTCCTAGATATCATAAAGGTGATACTTGAGAAGTTTGCCTGGACAAGCAGGAATCAACCAGGCAGAGCAGGAAGGAGGGAGGGGTATTAAAATAGTGGAAGAAGAGCCTAACTCAAAGCAGACAGGTGAGAGATGATTTTCATTATTGTGAGATCATAGTTGTGTTTGGAGATGTGTTAAGATTGGGTCTCTTTCTTGCCTCTGTACTATTTTCAACTAGTTTTGTATGTCACAAAAAGAACTTGGCATTTTACTATGAATGGAACAGAATCATTCAGAGACTTAACAGTATGTCTTGAACAAACATGAATTTTAAAAATATCACTCTGATAAACTTGAATGAAGGGAAGTAGAGCAAAGGAGCATCAAGGGAACCAAGTAGGAGTAACCTACCTGAGGGGAAAAAAGGGCATGAATTACAGCAGAGTCAGTAAGGACCAGGCTGAAGACAGCGAAACAGGACGGGCTTTGACTGAAAGGCTGTGAACTATAGAGAAATCAAAGTTACCCTGAGATGAGTGTGACCGTATGTACTAGTTTGCATGGGTAGTCCTGATTCATACTTACATATATTGTTGTTATATAAGTTGTTACACTTATAACAACTTAAGGTTGTTATTACTAGAGCTCTCTTTTACTCTCAAAACTGTCTTGGTTTGGATGATACATTATATTAATCATTTTACCTTTGACATTCAGCTATGTGACTTGGCTTGCTGTACAGATAGTGGTGCCTTTAGATTAGATTAGGAACAAAGTCCAGGAACAGACTGTGGTGGGTGGCAAAGAATATATCAGGAGTGAGTGTAATTTATACTTTGGCTTTAAGGTGCAAGGTGATCTGGCAGTATTAACATGGTCATCATCATTTAACATGTAGAAACTAAAAATACAGATAGATGAAGTAACCTAGGTAGAATATATATCATAAGAAGGGATGAAGAAAATCTTGGTAACAGCAATACTCGAAAGGAAAAGAGAAGCAAGAGGAAGTAGTGAAGGAGGGATCCAAAATACATCCAGGAAAAAGCAGTCCCATGGAAGCCAAAGGAAAATAATTCCAATAAAAGGGGTATGACTAGCATCAAATATTTCAGAGATCACTATTTGAAAATAGTGTTAAACATTCCTTTCAACATCTATCATATAAGATAAACTAACTGGACATTCATTTGTTTCTACCACATCATCTTTGTCCTTCTCCAGTCAACTTCAAGGCTTCTCAGGTGGCTCAGTGGTAAAGAATCTGCCTGCCAATGCAGGAGATGCAGGTTCAATCCCTGGGTCAGGAAGATCCCCTTGATTAGGAAATGGCAACCCACTCCAGTGTTCTTGCCTGGAAAACCCCATGGACAGAGGAGCCTGGTGGGCTACAGACCACCAAGTCACAAGAGCTGGACATGAATAAGCACGAACAGCCAACTTCATATACTTTTCAGAAGATTTAAAATAAATCATACTAATTAAAAAAAATCTATTTCTCCTACATTTTTCTGTTTTAAAGTTCTAAGTTTCTCATTTTGGGTATATTTAAAACAAATACAGAGTTAATCTGGATTCAATTAAAAGTCTCAAATAACTCGATTTCTCCCCTTGCATTCTACTTTAATAGTTGGTTAAAGACAAGAAAAGTCACTATCAGTTTTTTTGTTTTTAAATAGGCAATTTCCAGAGCTGCCTAATATTGTCAGTATTCGGTATAACCTCTGGTACTTTGTAGAGCTATCATATAATACAAAAGAGCAATAGTTAACAGGAAGAAGCTAAGGCACCATAAGTTTTTGAATCATTTCAAACAGATTAAACTCAAAATTTCTATACTGAAACAGAAAAGTATATTTATACAATTTAGAAAGTCTTAACAAGGATTTAAACCGCAGATGTTCATTAGATTCTAGTTAACCAAAAAACATACTTACTTCTGATGCATTCTGGTTAATCAATATATTATAGTAGTCTGAGTTAAAGCATCTTGTAATTTTTGCTAAAATGACCTTTTTTTTTTTCAGATTCTATAAAACCAACAGGAGGAAAAAAAAAAAAAAGGTCTTACTTATAAAAAGGGCCCAATGTTTAAATATAAAGTGATAGAAAAATATCTTATTCCAGATAAGAATTCTTCAAAACTGTCATAGATACAAAAAAATCACTGAACTGTACGCTTTAAATGGGTGCATTTTATATTAACTCATTGTTTAAAAACTGAGTCATGTGTTTTTCTTTTAATATAAAACTTTAAGCTTCTTAAAAAGTTGTTTAAGTACACATAACATAAATGTACCATCTTAACCACTTTTAAGTGTACAGTTCTACAGTATTAAGTACATTCACAATGTTATACAACCATTACAACCATCCATCTCCAGAACTTTTCATCTTACAAACCATTACCCGTTGAACAATAATTTCCCATTTTTTCCTTGCCCAGTCTCTGAAAAATCATTAAACCTTAAGGTTTTAAGTGTTTAGTATAAGGTGAAATTCTTACCAGATTATGTATAACATTTGTTAAGGTCCAAGCAACAGGAACACTGAAGAAGGGAATACTGAGTAAAACAATGTGAAGCAAGCCAACTCCCAATGCATATGTCAGCCACATACCACGGCTGTTCATTACACGGGTATTCGGATTCACCTCACTGTGGGCAACGCCAACATTCATGTTTGCGCTGCAGAAAAGCAATGAAATGAATCAACACTGATGTAACTGGAGACCCAAATAATCCTAATTTTGTCTTGACATGACAAAATAAGTGTGTTACTGGGATTACTTTTTTTCCCCTCATCGTTCTGAAATAGAACAGACCCTCCAAAATATGCTATTTCCACATGCCCAGGAGGTCAACAGTTCTTCACATCCGACTCCAAGGTAAGACACACAAGACTTATTTTTATGCTTCTTGTTGAAAACAAAGTTAAAATTTCTTTCCTAAAGCTTGTCTTCAAGCATGTTGGTTTTACTAAATGAAACCATGGGCAGGAAAACTCAAACTGAAAGAGAAAACAACCTACATTTTCTTTTATCATGAGAGCAAAGTGAAAACTCAGGAAGTAAGTTTACCAACAGAATAATATAAAAAAAAAAAAAAAAAAAACAAAGTTAACCTAAACCAGTCTGTTCTGAGTAGCCAGACTCTTTCCTACACCTAACAATGTATCCATATAGCGGTCAGAGTTCAAATCACTTCTTTAGGAACAATGAAAATCAGAGAAACATAACGAGGTGGAAATTTCACATGGTCAAAGGATAAGGTTTCTCTCTCAATCTTGTTATACAATTAGGTTAAAACAAGGAGTCTTCTGCACATTGTAATTCTGGTCACCGTCCCTAAAATACTGGTTTTTTCTCTTTCCTTCCTCCCCCTCCCCTTTCTTTCTTTCTGAGATTGAGGGATGGGGGGGGGGGGGCAGTGCTACACTGTATTGGGAACAGCTCTGAGTTAAAAATATACAAACCCTTTTCATTACAGAGTTAGCACTGAGAGAGGAAATTTCTCCTAACTCCATCCAACAAGTATTTCCAGAGTACAATGGCCCTCTCCCTACAAAAATCTATAGGCTTACGGTGATGAAAGTTGGTTACACTAAAAACATCAAGTCAGTCACAAATTTAAACGTGTAAATATGTCTTCCAGTCTAAATATCCACCGTACATAATATATAATTTTTATATGCTATAAACTGTACTTAGAACATGCCACCACACAAGGTGCTTTCCCCACTTGCGACAGGATTTCTTTTTAAATGCTCGAAAGACTTTAAAATCTACATCTGAGGCGGAAGGCAAAGACTGATCCTACCCCAGGACAGAAAACCTTTCCAGGAGTCCGCCGCGCCACTTCAGGACTGGCAAACAATGACTTCACAGAGCAAAGAACCCTCTCGGCGCTGCCCCCGCGGATGCAGGGAACCCAGCGACCGCCCGCTACACAGCCAAGGGCAGCCTTCCCCAGCGGTCGGAGCTCCCGGGTAGTGGGAGTTCAGCAAAAGCCGCTGTGCTATCGACAAACCGTCCCGACTCCCCACCCCTTTCTTCTCGGAGTTGCACATCCCGTCAGAGCCGGGACGCGACGATGAGGATCTGGGGAGCAAGTCGTGGGGGCCACTTGGCTCGCATCGCCAGACAGGGCGCCGCGGATGGAGCCAAAGTCCACCTTTCCCCACAAGCCGAGGGCCTGCCAGCAGCTCCCCACGGCACCGGGGAGCAGCACAGCCCCTGCGGCCGTTCGTGGCCACTCACCCGCCGCCCCACTCCCGGCAGCCGGAGAGAAGCAGTACCAGCGCCGCGGAGGCGAAGGCGGCGTCTCCTCAGGCCGGATGCGAGTAGTCAGCCTCAGCGCCGCGCAGCGCGGCGCGGCTGGCGGAAGCTCTCCTTGCGGAAAGCGCTGCCCGGGGATTGGCTGAGGGCGGCGCCAATCCCACGTTCGCCGGACTGGGCGGGACTGAGGGCGGAGCGCTCCGTGTCCGCCCCGCTCCGCGCTCGCTGTGGGTGAGTCGGGAATCAACGAGGCCGGGCCCGGGCTCCCGTCGGGACGCTGGCCGGTCCGCTAGTGGATTGTAATTGCCCACCTCGCGCGAGCAAGCAGGTAGTGTCGTGTGGCCAACGGGCATTCATTGTTATATTGTCGTAGGCTCGGGAGCGTCCTCCTCTGACCTCGTCCTAGTCTGGGCGCGAGTACCGGGGGCCGCCAGGGGCGCCCCTCCCCCTCTCCACTCGCGGAGCGGGAAGCAGACGCCGCGGGGCTAGCGGGCGCGCACACGTGGGTTGCGGCCTCCCACCAGCTGCGGGCGTCCATAGTGCCTGAACTTTCTTGACTAAACGTTGTCCCAACCCATTCCTCAGATCCTTGGTGCAGGTCTTAAAGTTCGCCAGGCAGAGTTTTACCTCCTGACAGCCATAATTCAGTCCGTCTTGAGTGGGAGGGTAGGCTTTATAATATTGTATGTTGTAGCATCATGCAAGTGGAGCAAGCAAACTTTTCGGTTGACCGTGATTTTTACTTATGTCATTCTGGGTCTCTCTACACGCTGAACACGGGTACTTGTTTGCTGAGGAAATGTGGGCTCCAAGAATTTATTTATTTATTTTGCCGCTCCCCGTGAGTTGCAGGGAGGCTTGTGGAGACCTTGGTTCCCAACTAAGGATTGAACCCGGGCCTTGGTAGCGAAGTGAAATATTAACCACTGAACCGCCTGGGAATTCCCTTGAGAATTGATCTTATTCAAGATAAGGGAGGGGAAAAATCAGATTATTTGTAGTTATCTTTGAAGTTGAATTTCATTACCTTCGCAGTACCCAGAGTTTATTTGTAATGCTGAAATAACTTTCAGTGGGCATTTCAAAATTGGTGTAAGAGAATGCTGACTATATATATGCGTGATTGATCATTTGTCAAGTCATGTCCAACCCTTTGTGACCCCATGGACTGTAACCTCCCAGGCTCCTCTGTCTGTGGCGTTTTCCAGGCAATACTGGAGGGTTGCCGTTTCCTTTTCCAGAGCATCTTCCCTAGCCAGGAATTGAACCCTCATCTCCTGTGTCTCCTGATTTGGGCGGCAGATTCTTTACCACTGAGCTACCTGGGAAACCCTACATGTATATATATATAGCATTTCTATTGGCCCTATGAAACCAGTTGTTTTTTTTCCTATAATTATTTCATTGTATTCTCCCTAAAGTTTATCTATGACTTCTCTGATCTTTGCTTCTTTTTTAGATACACTGTTATCCTTAATTGATTTCCCTGATTATCAGCCCTCTTTTGGTAATGTTTGATTTACCCCTCAGCAAATATGGAAGACTGATTCCTGACATTCTTAGACATTCTGTGCTGCGTTTCCTAAGCCTGATATCCCTTTTCAAAGATGCCGTTTGGTACACATTCAGTAGAGTGCTTGTTCCAAAAGTTATGCTAGGGATATAAGATTAATATACAATCTCTGTTCTCAAAGAGCTTTCAGTCAGGAAGGGACAGAAATACAGTACTTAGAATAATCTGTGATGAGTTTGGGGTTAGAAGTAAGGGAAAAGTGCTCTGGGAGTACAGAGGAAGGAGAGTATAATTTGTTGGGGCAAGGGTTGGAGCTGATAAGAAAGGCTTCCTGGAGGAGGTCCTACTTGAACTAAATCTAGAAGTATGGTTAGAAGTCATTAGTAGAGAAAGGGAACCTTATGTTCCGAGGAAGGAATCAGGACTGCTACATTAAGAGAGACAAATCGTATAATATGACTGGTCTAGTGTGTAATTTGGAGAAGAGTGGGATGAGATTAGAGAGATAGAGGTCCAGTTGTTAAGGAGTTTGGATTTAACCTAATAGTTGGAAATTTTATACAATTTTAAGTAGGATAGCAACGTGATTAAATGTAAACTATATAAAGAACAGTGTAGGTGGTTGAGATCCCAGGAAAATATCAAGTATCTGGTTATTGCAGTGGTTCAGGGGAAAATTGTTAGGGGCTGAGCAGAGGGAGTGCCATAGCTTCAGAGAGGAAAGAACTAGTTTGAGAGATACTTAAATAGTAGGATAGATAGGACTGGGTGGCAAGATGTAGAGAGGAGAATTTCAAGGATGACTCAAGATTTCTAATTTTGCATTGTGAGAATGGATGAACATAGCCTTTGGAGTCAAGCATGCCAAGGTATGCAGGTGTGCCTCTTTCACTTAATAGTTGTGTGATCTTGGAACAAGTTATCAAGCTTTTAAATCTTGTTTGTGATAGAGGAATGACAGTACACATAAGCTTGTGAGAATTAATTTTATATGTATTAATATATAAAGTAACTTATGTAAGCTATTTTTATTATCAAATTAATTCAAGAAGAAAGTTAATTAGAGAAAGATCCGAGATCCACTTGGGTCATGTTAAGTTTAGGGTGCCTCCCTGTCATCTAAATGATAATATTTAGAAAGTAGTTGGAAATTAGGCCCTAGATTCTAGAAAAAAAAGCCTGGTTAGGAAGTACAAGTGATGTGTAGGGGATGATATGGAGGCCAATTAGAATACATAAAGGAAGGGAGGTCACTCTTCCTAATGTTTACCTTTGCATGAGGTAAGTGCTGATAAAATTATTTTTTGTGACCTCCTTTATTAATATGTGAAGTACTCTGATTACTCTTGTGTTGCATCCAGAAATATATAATTCCCTGCATTCAGACATTGTTGAGGTCAGGACACAGGTGTGTTAGGTGAGCCAAGTTCTTTCAGAATGTAGGGTGAGCAAAGGGTCATTCCTGGCTCAGTGATCATAAAGGACCAGGTTATAAATGATACTGAAATTGGGTCTAGAATGATAGTTTTGCATTAGGAGAGTGTGGAGGTGCAGATAGGGTGGGATTGCTGGCAAAGCAAGATTAACATTTTTGAGTCCTCTCAGTAAGAACAAAGCTAAGTGGGAGGTTTGAAGGGAGAATAAGAGAAGTTGTCTTTTATAAATACCTACTTTGAGGCATCAGTGATGCTGATTGTAAAAAATGCTTTGTCTTAACTTGAGAGAGATCACTGTAGGGATGTAGATTTAGATGTGATTCTATAGCTGAAGCTTTGGGTTTTAAGGTATATAAGAAGAGTGGAGGGGTTATGGAATGCCCATTTTCTGGGAGGAGACTGAAGAAAATATGAAGAGCTTCAAGAGGTATAGGTGGATGTATAATTCTTGAGAATTAAACAGTATCATCAATGTCACATGCTTCAGGGATGTCAAGGAACATGAGTTCTGAGAAAAGGGTTTGATGACCTAAGAGCTCATTGGTGAACTTGAGAACAGAATCCCAACAGTGGTTGTATACGCTGTTTTGCAAGGGTTTTAGAAGTAAGTCGGTGATAGAGAATTGGTGACAGTGAATATAGGTTACTTATTTAAGTTTGGCTTCATAAAGGAAGAAGATAATCATAGAGGTAACAGGGTTGAGGGAAGAATTTTTGTTGTTGTTGTTTTTTGTTTTTGCTTTCAAGGACAGGATGACTAGAGGCGGGGTGGGACTGAAGAAACTAGGTAAAATTGTTAGCTTAGAAGAAAGAGACGTTAGCCTGAGACTGAGGGAGGAAGGGTGTGTAAACATTTTAAGAAGCCAAAGAACACAGTGTGGTGAGAAGTTAAAGTGTGTGAAAATAGAGATCATGCTGTGGTCTTCCTTGACCTCAGTAGATAGAAGAGGAGGAAGGTTGGAGTGAAATTAGGGACTTGGGAGCAGGAAATAGATTTTGGAAGAGAAGTTATAGAGAATGCGACGAAGATGATGAGATGAATAAAAAGATTGTGCAAAAAGGGAAGGTTGAGGTGAGGCTAAGTTAATACCCCAAAACTTGATTAATGTTTTTCTTACATCCTTGAGACTCTCAAAATGAGGAAGCAGACTTCTTAAACCCAAGCCTAATCTGATTTCAAGCTATGGGTTAGCTCCTGTTGGGGGTAGTTAGAAGTCTGCTCTGTGTGAGGTAGGGGGGTGGGGGTGGGGGACTCATTTACTAGTTTGGAGGAATTCAATTTAGTTCAAAGATTCTGGGATCTTTTAGCATGTATATGCTAAGCACTGTAATAAGTTGTATGAAAGTGAAAGTCGCACAGTCGTGTCCTGCTTTTGTGATCCCATGGACTGTAGCCTGCCAACACTTAGTCCATGAAATTCTTCAGGCAACAGTACTGGAATCGGTTGCCATTTCCTTCTCTAGGGGATCTTCCTGACCCAAGGATCGAACTGGGGTCTCCTGCATTGCAGGCAGATTTTTTACCAACTGAGCCACTAGGGAAGCCCAATAAGTTGTATACGTCATTTTATTTACTTTGAGGAGGAGAAGGGGATGACAGAGGACGAGATGGTTGGATGGCATCACCAACTCAATGGACACGAGTTTGAGTAAACTGGGAGTTGGTGATGGACAGGGAGGCCTGGCGCGATGCAGACCATGGGGTTGCAAAGAGTCGGACATGACAGCGACTGAACTGAACTGAACTGACTTCTCACCATAGCCATATGATATCATTTTTATCTCTAGTTTGTAGATTAGGTGATTAAATTTTAGAGTTTAATTTTCTCAACATTTATATAATTATTAGTGTAAAGACTAAGCTAGAACCAAAGCAGTGTGATTTCAGAGCTTGCTCTTGTAACCACTACTGTCTCCAACACTGTGCAATCGAACAATAGTATCAGCCATATGTGGGCTTCCTGGTAGCTCAACTGGTAAAGAATTAGCCTGCAATGCAGGAGACCCCGGTTTGATTCCTGAGTCAGGAAGATCCCCTGAAGAAGAGACAGGCCACCCATTCCAGTATTCATGGGCTTCCCTGGTGACTCAGATGGTAAGGAGTCCATCTGCAATGTAGGAGACCTGGGTTTGATCCCTCGGTTGGGAAGATCCCCTGGAGGGGAGGGCATGGCAGTCCACTCCAGTATTCTTGCCTGGAGAATCACCATGGTCAGAGGGGCCTGGTGGGCTATAGCCCGTGGGGTTGCATGTATGTATGCACACACACTTAAATTTTATGGTAGTCACGTTAAAAGGGGAAAAAATTAAGGGAAATTAATATTTTATATAATCCAATATATTCAGAATATCATTTAGTTTTAATCAATGTAAAAAATTAATTAAATTTGTTTATGTATTTTACACCAAGTTTAACATCCAGAGTGCATGAGCACATCGCAATTGGAGTAGCCCTGTTTCACGTGTGAGCCGTCACAAGTGGCTGGTGACGACCGTGTGTGTGCTAGTTGCTGACAGTGCCATGGAGTTATGTACCTTTAGACCCGAGGCCAGTCTGAAGCCCGGGGACAGGACAGATGGTGCCCTTTGTTGTGACGGCATTAATTTGTGTGACTGTTGTGGCCCTGGAGCAGCTGACTGTGTCCTGTTCCCTGACTGACTGGGGAGGCCTCCTGGCCAGTGAGAGCCACAAAGAAACACCAAAAGGTGGTTGTTGACAGCTTGTCTCCTAAGACTGGGCTACCTCCAAATTACATATGTAGTGTAATTAGGAGTTAATTGTTAGAAAAGGATTTTCATTGTTTCTGTACATAATGATCATGGTAATGAAAATACTGTATATTTTATATGCCTTTATCATTTACATAACATTTTGTGTGTATTTTCTTGTTTGATTCTCACAACAGACTAGTGAGATATTATCCTCATTTGTAAAAGTAATAAGTTGATTTTACAAAGGGATTTAAGTAATGGCACTCCAGTGGCAGAAAATGAAGAGGAACTAAAGAGCCTCTTGATGAGGGTGAAATAGGGGAATGAAAAAGCTGTCTTAAAACTCAACATTCAAAAAACTAAGACCATGGCATCCGGTCCCATCACTTCATGGAAAATAGAAGGGGAAAATGTGGAAGCAGTGACAGATTTTCTTTTCTTGGGCTCCAAAATCACTGCAGATGGTGACTGCAGCCATGAAATTAAAAGATGCTTGCTTCTTGGAAGGGAAACAATGACAAAACTAGACAGCATATTAAAAATCAGATACATCACTTTGCCAACAAAGGTCCATGTAGTCAAAGCTATGGTTTTTCCAGAAGTCATGTACAGATGTGAGGTTTGGACCATAAAGAAAGCTGAGCACTGAAGAATTGATGCTTTTGAGCTGTGGTGTTGGAGAAGACTCTTGAGAGTCCCTTGGACTGCAAGGAGATCAAACCAGTCAATCCTAAAGGAAATCAACTCTTTAGAATATTCATTGGAAGGACTGTTGCTGAAGCTCCAATACTTTGGACAGCTGATGCGAAGAGCCTACTCATTGAAAAGACTCTGATGCTGGTAAAGATTGAGGGCAAGAGACAAAGAGAGTGGCAGAGAATGAGGTGGTTAGGTGGCATCACTGCTTCAATGGATATGAGTTCCAGCAAACTCTGGGGGATATGGACAGGGAAGCCTGGAGCAGTGCAGTCCATGAAGTCACAGAGAGTTGGAAATGTCTTAGCGACTGAACAACAGCATACAAGTGATAAGTTGATTTTACAGAGGGATTTCAGTAAGCTTCAGTTTATGTGACTAAACATGAACACCCAAACCTGTTTTTTTAGACTCTGGTCTGGCATATTTCTCCATTGTGCTAATCAGCTTTGCCTTGTGCAGAGCAGAATGTAGTTATGAATTGTGAACAGTCAACACCATTCAGAAGTCAGTGTGTTGACTACTTCCCAGAAATGTATTTCTCAACATTCTGTGTAACCTTTGTGGCTGTATTCCATTTCTTGCTCAATTACTTATTCTTAAATTTTATGTCACTCTGCTTGTTTACATCTAAGTTGCCTGAGAAAGAATCCTAAACAGAAACCTTTATATTTTGTTTGTCTTTGGTATCATTGTTTTGTTTGGACCTAGATTCCATAGGATCATACCATCATGTGTGCATGTAACAAGTCATGGTAAATTAAGGACGTACTTAGGGTTCTTGTATGGGAAAAGAGCAGTTTTATTATTCTCATACCCCCCAGTTATAGCCCCTATTTTATTGTCAGATAAAATCATAACTCTTGAGGAACTTGTGTGTTGTCAAGCTACTGCTGCTACTGCTGCTAAGTCGCTTCACTCGTGTCTGACTCTGTGTGACCCCACAGACGGCAGCCCACCAGGCTCCCCCGTCCCTGGGATTCTCCAGGCAAGAACACTGGAGTGGGTTGCCATTTCCTTCTCCAGTGCAGGAAAGTGAAAAGTGAGAGTGAAGTGGCTCAGTCGTGTCTGACTCGTAGCGACCCCATGGACTGCAGCCCACCAGGCTCCTCCGTCCATGGGATTTTCCAGGCAAGAGTACTGGCGTGGGCTGCCATTGCCTTCTCCAGTTGTCAAGCTAGTATTCTTTAATTTATTGAGATCTTTCTGAAGTTAGGCATTAAAGTAGATGCAAACCCCACTCCCTGCAGATTTTGTATACATGACTTCTGTATGAGGTTTTTTGTTTCTTTGCAAAAGTTTCAAGATGGAGGGTTTCATGGCTTAAAACAATTACTGGTAGAGAGATTTGGATGTACAAGTTGGATCGTCATGTAAAGGACCTTGAATGCCAGAACATGGATTTGAGCTTTATCTTATTTTGGCTTTGGGGAGCCACATGATTAGAAAGATGTTTTAGGCTCAGTGTACAGGAATGGCATCCCACTCCAGTGTTCTTGCCTGGAAAATCCCATGGAGGGAGGAGCCTGGTGGGCTGCCGTCTATGGGGTTGCACAGAGTCGGACACGACTGAAGCGACTTAGCAGCAGCAGTAGCAGTGTACAGGATGGTAATCTGATGTGATATGTTGGAGATGTGACTAGTTTAGATTAAGGGTAATTCTGGAGTCTAGATTTCCTAACTCTAAAAGAGCTCGGTAATTAAAAGAGATAATTGTAATTCATTGAAATGTATCGATGATTAATGATGTTCAAGATCTACCTCCATTAAGGCACATGACTGACATTATCTGCTTATCAGTTGGCAGCACCATCTGGTCATTCCTAGCCAGGCAGGTCATATATTACACTTATTACACGATTGTTCTTACCATTCTTCAGTTAGTAACATAGTGTGACTTACCAAATACTTTCTCTGTGCCTTAGTCTTATAATATGCAGATGATAATGGCATTTATTTTAAAGGATATTCATAAGAAATAAGCAATTTAATACTGTATATGCTTAACATTAGAGCCTGACATACAATAAGACTCATAACCAAACTGCTATCAGTTCTGTTAGGAATGTTTAACAGTTTTTATTTTTACATCTTATGGTTTATTTTCTAGCTATTGTGCTGAAAGCTAGAATGAAACAGTTGCCTGCAGCAACAGTTCGCCTACTTTCAAGCTCTCAAATAATCACTTCAGTGGTCAGTGTTGTAAAAGAGCTCATTGAAAACTCCTTGGATGCTGGTGCCACAAGCATAGATGTTAAACTGGTGAGTGTTCTTGAGATGCTACCAACTACCTTTAAAGCAAAAAAAGAGTTGAACAGATGTTTTCTCCTTATAACTATTACCTTTCTTTTCTTTATATACCAGTAAATTATTTTTAGAACATTGAATCCTTTGTCTTATTTAAGTGTAAATCCTTAAAAATGCATTTTAGTTTAAATCAATATACAGTAACACTAAAGGAAGTCATAAAGGAAAGCTTTTTCTTGAGGACTCTTTCACATAAAAAATGAACTTAATTTGTCCATATTTTCTGCTATTACTTACCCTTGGTTATATGTGCTTATTTGTTTTATATATTCTCTTTTTTTTCTACTTAATCTTCTTTCAGAACTGTGTCCTTTGTTGCTTCATAGTTTTCACAGTTTTAAATTTAAGTGCTACATATTAAATCATTTGAGTTAATATGACTTATGAAACTTGCTATGATTTATTGCAATGAGTCTGAACCCCTACCACCTCTATTATAAATTACTAACTCATGGAGGTAAGGTCTATATTTTTTTCTGTTCTCTATACCTGTTCAGTATATGGCATTTAAATGGTAAATAAATTTGTTTGAGTGAATGTAAGAATGCATTTTTTTGTAATCTCCTGGTCATCAGATATTCATATCATTTCTGGTATTATGGCATTAGCAGAATACTGATATGAATATCTTTGTAGGAAAGAGACCTTCCCTTTTCATATACATGTTCATATATTATATATATGTTATCCCTTTTTATCCTTATAAAAACTAAAAATTAACTACCACTACTCATTTTACAAATAATTAAGGTTCTAAGAACTTTCTCAAAGTCATGTAAGTATGGTAGTAAGTAGTGGAGCTGAGATTATATTCCAGATCTTTATGACTCTAAAACCTTTCAAGATTTTTCGTCAATAATAGTGGTTCTCACCACACTTGGGTACATCAGTAATTTTAGTGAGTTTGTTAAAACAGTTATTGGGCCCCAGAATTTCATATTCTAGGTAGGGCCCCAAATTTGTGTTTCTAAGAAGTTTCTGGTTGATGGTGAGAACCACTGTTCTATCCTGTGTTAGACTTGTACTTTGATTTTAAATGATACAGTAAAAGCTTTATAAATATGAAAAAAATTAAAATGAAAGACATTTCCTTTTTCTTAAACATTTTATATAGTTCAGTCTGATAAGAATACAGTTGATAATACTTAAATAGGATTAGATAATTATAACTGACAAATTTAACATAAGAATCTTAAGCAGGCAAACATAAATCTTATTCTGAAAAGTCTTGGAAGAAGAATATAGTTTTTAAAAATAGTTTTACAGAGCCAACAGAAGTTCTCTTTAAAAAGTAAATTAAAGTACATATTTTTATCTGGTTATATATTTACGTCTCTTGACTTTTATCAGTTTCTGGTTTGTAGAATTTTAAAACAACTCTGTTGCTCTATATAATAAGATCTGTTTTATATAGTTTCATATATTAATAACTGTCCTGGGTAGGAATGTTTTCATAATTAGTAAATTAAATGTGTTGACATTATTTCAGACATTTAAACAGATGATTGTATTGTTTTACTCAGGTGCCTTGAGTTTTTACTTGTATTGGCATTTCTATAGTTAATTATTTTTCTATAAAACAAAGTAGACAAGCTGTCTCCAGGATCATAATTTTAGATTAAGGGAGAGATAAGAAACTAAATCTTAGGTGACTCTCCCCAGCACCTTGTATTTCTACTAAAAAGGCATGACACAGTATCATATAATTTTAGGTTACTAAAAAGGTACTGTATTATTTTTAAATAACAATCATTATAATTGTAGGAAGATTTTTTCCCCTTTATAACTTGCATTTATGGCCATACACATAAAACTCTGTGAAGTAAAGCTTATGATAGAAGTTTGCTACCAAATTTAAAATGTGTACTCATAGAAAGTGTGATGACCATAGGAATTTATGCTTTGTATTTGCAATGTATGCATATTTTTAGTATTAAATTGCCCACATTAAGCCATGATTTGTTTTTCCTCCTCCATTTTCAAATTAAAAACTCACTGAAATTGCTAATTAGGTGTATTTTCTCAGCAGTGTGTTAGGTGACTATTTGCAGAAAGAAATTAAGAAAGTTGTAACAGATTTTTATTTATTTATGACTACAATAAGTAGTTCAAGTGAGAAAGTATTAAAAATCAGATTGAATATTGATAATTGCTCAGCTCTTGGTGGGTAGAACCGGGTGTTGTTTTTGATGGTGATGGTATTCTGTTTTATTTGGGAGATTATATATACACAAAGCACCCTTCAGCCTTGTCGTGGCGAAGGGGCTTGTGTAACTCAGTGAGGCTGTGAGCCATGCTGTGCAGGAACGCCCAGAACAGATGGATGACAGGCAGAGTACTTCATGCAAAATGCTGAGCTGGATGACTCACAAGCGGGAATCAAGACTTCGGGGAGAAATCAACAACCTCAGATATGTAGATGATACCACTCTAATGCAGAAAGTGAAGAGAAATAGAAGGGCCTCTTGATGAGGGTGAAAGAGCTGGCTTAAAATTCAATATTCAAAAAACTAAGATCTTGGCATCCTGTCCCATCACTTCATGGCAAATAGAAAGGGGAAAAAGTAGAAGCAGTGACAGATTTTCTTTTCTTGGGCTCCAAAATCACTGCGGATGGTGACTGCAGCCATGAAATTAAAAGACACTTGCTCCTTGGAAGAAATGCTGTGACACACCTAGACAACATATTAAAAAGCAGAGACATCACTTTGCCAACAAATGTGCCTATAGTCAAGGCTTTGGTTTTTCCAGTGATCATGTTTGGATGTGAGAGTTGGACCATAAAGAAGGCTGAGTGCTGAATCATTGATGATTTTGAACTGTGGTGTTGGAGAAGACTCTCGAGAGTCCCTGAGACTGCAAGGAAATCAAACCAGTCAATCCTGAAGGAAATCATCCCTGAATATTCATCGGAAGGACTGATGCTGAAGCTCTAGTACTTTGATTACCTGATGGGAAGAACCGTGTCATTGGAAAAGGTCCTGATGCTGGGAAAGACTGAGGGCAGGAGGAGAAGGGGGCAGCAGAGGATGAGATGGTTGGATGGCATCACCAGTTCAGTGGATGTGAATTTGAGCAAACTCCAGGAGATAGAGGACGACAGAGGAGCCTGGTGTGCTGCAGGCCATGGGGTTGCAAAGAGTTAGATACAACTTAGTGATTCAACCACTGCAACAGTATATACAAAGGTCTATATAACTTTGAAGAATATTTCTGGGGAAGTTTAAATCTAAGTACCTATTACATGGAAACAATTCAAGGGAACCTTGAAGATCATACTGATATTATTTTACACTGAGTCTGAGTCCAAGGAAAACAACGAACTTGCCCACTGTACCATAGCTAGGAATTGGTGGAGTTAAGAATTTAAACTCTTAACTTCTTTAATGTTAAGTTTACATGCTGTGCTGTGCTTAGTTGCTCTGTCGTGTCCAACTCTTTGCAGCCTCATGGGCTGTAGCCCGCCAGGCTCCTCTGACCATGGCAATTCTCCTGGAGTGGGTTGCCATGCCCGCCTCCAGGGGATTGTCCCAACCCAGGGATCGACCCCAGGTCTCCCGCATTGCAGTTGGATTCTTTACTGTCTGAGCCACCAGGAAAGCACAGGAATGATAGAGCCAGTAGCCTATCCCTTCTCTGGGGCATCTTCCCGACCCAGGAGTCGAACCACGGTCTCCTGCATTGCAGGCCGATTCTTTACCAGGTGAGCTACAGGGAAGTCCTAAGTTTCCATAAGAGATAGATAAATGACAAAGCTGTTTCATTTGTGTTACCTTCTGTCTCTAAATGTGATAATAGTTTAATGTCTTTGTATACTAAAAGTATTGTTTAACTTTTCATAGGAAAACTATGGATTTGATAAAATTGAGGTGAGAGACAATGGTGAGGGCATCAAGGCCATCGATGCACCTGTAATGGCAGTGAAGTACTACACCTCAAAAATAAGTAGTCACGAAGATCTTGAAAATTTGACAACGTATGGTTTTCGTGGAGAAGCCTTGGGGTCAATTTGTTGTATCGCCGAGGTAAGGTAATTTGTATTGATCATTTTAGCAGTTTCATAATAACATGGTATTAAAATTAAGAGAAAACTCACCCAGAATTTGGCTTTTTTTTTTTAAACTGTGTAAAATACGTGTAACATTTACCATTTTATTGTGTAAAACAGACATGAAATTTACCAGTTTAGTCATTTTTAAGTTTACAATTCTGTGACATTAAATGCATTGGCTTCGTTGTGTAGGTATCACCACTGTCCATAGCCAGGACTTTTTCATCATCCCAGACTAAAGCTGTACCTATTAAACAATCAACCCTTATTCTCCTTTCCTCCATCCACTGGTCACCAATAGTGTACTTTCTGTCTCTATGAGTGACTATTTAGGTGTGTCTTATACTTGGAATCATATAATATTTATCTTTTGTGTCTGGTTTATTTCACTTAACATAATGTCTTTAGGGTTCATACATATTATAACGTGTATTAGAATTTCATTCTTCTTAAGGGTGAATGATACTCCATTATATGTATAAACCATATTTTATTTATTCATTCATCTGTCAAGAGACATTTGGGTTGTTTCCACTGTTTGACTCTTGTGAAGATTGGTGTACAAATGTCTGAGTCCTTGCTTTCACTTTTTTGGGTATATACCTGGAAGTGGAATCGCTGGTTCAAATGGTTCAGTAATCCCCCTTATCCATGGTTTTGCTTTCTGTGGTTTCAGTTACCACAGTCAACCACTGTTAGAAAATATTAAGTGGAAAAATTCCAGAAATAATTCATGAGTTATGTGCCATTCTGAGTAGCATGATGAAATATTGTGTAGTTCTGCTCTGTCATTCCCAGGATGTGAATTGTCTGTCTTACTTATCCACATTGCATACACTGCCAGCCTTTTAGTCACTTTCTGGCTGGTTGAGTTACCAGATCTGTCAAGGTATCATAGTGTTTGTTTTCAGAGGAGCCCTTATTTTACTTAATAATGGCCCCAAAGTACAAGAGTAATGATGCCAGCAATTCAGATAGTCTCTTACTGTGCCTAATTTATAAATTAAACTTTATCTTAGATATGCGTATTTAGAAAAAAACATAAGTGTATAGAGGGTTTTATACTATCTGCAGTTTCAGGCATCCCCTGGGGATTTTGAAACATGTCTCCTGAGGATAAGGGGGACTACTGTAATTAATTTTTTGAGGGATGGCAAAGAGTGTTTTTCAGTGGTAATATAAGAGGGAAAAAATGGTTTAGTCATCTAATGGCTTGGAAAAGTATTAAAATTAAACAGGTAACTATAAGCATTTCTCAGAGCCTTTACTGTACTAAAGTGCATTATGAATCTCCGAGGTTGGTGGTTTCCAATAGGGACATTTCCTGCTCACTTGGCTATGAAACCCTTTTACTGAGATACCTATCACTGATAATCCTGCTCTGCTGTGGAACACACTCTGGAAATACTACGGTGGTCAACACAGATAATTAGACTGTGCTCTAGAGATATGTAAAGAAGGTAATGGCACCCCACTCTGGTAACTCTTGCCTGGAAATCCTGTGGACGGAGGAGCCTGGTGGGCTGCAGTCCGTGGGGTCCCTAAGGGTTGGACACGACTTCACTTTCACTTCTCACTTTCCTGCACTGGAGAAGGAAATGGCAACCCACTCCAGTGTTCTTGCCTGGAAATCCCATGGACGGAGGAGCCTGGTGGGCTGCAGTCCATGGGGTCCCTAAGGGTTGGACACGACTTCACTTTCACTTCTCACTTTCCTGCACGGGAGAAGGAAATGGCAACCCACTCCAGTGTTCTTGCCTGGAGAATCTCAGGGACAGAGGAGCCTGGTGGGCTGCCGTCTATGGGGTCACACAGAGTCGGACACGACTGAAGCAACGCAGCAGCAGCAACAGCAGCTAGATATGTAGAGAAAGAAATGGCAACCCACTCCAGTATCCTTGCCTGGAGAGTCCCATGGACAGAGGAGCCTGGTGGGCTACAGTCCATGGGGTCACGAGGAGTCAGACACAACTGAGCAAACACTCAGTCACTAGAGATATGCAATGACTTGGGCTGAACCCTAGTTAGAATTTTCCTCTCCTGACTGCTAGATGTTTTCAGTGTCTATAAACCCTTCATTCAGTTGATGTCTGACCCACTGCGTTGCCTAGTATGAATTCTATGTCACTGCCTCTCCCCTAGATCACGCAGCTGGTTTTTGGCAAAGCCCGTCTAGAACCATGATCTCTTCATTTGCATGTATATCAGTTACGTTTGATCACTAGTTCCTTTGTGCTGTACTGTTCTCTTCTGTGTTAGGGTCTGTTTTACAATGTGATTGTGTGCCAGGAGAGTGACACGGTAATTGTGAGGGTCTCTAGCTACCTCCGTTTGCCTGGTGGCTGTGTATCCTTTCATTTGTGCTTACTGCTGTTTGGGTGAGAATGCTCAGGTGCAGAAAATGATGGGACTTATTGTCTCAGAAAAGTGGCAAAGATATGAGATATTGTTGCTGTTTCATTATCTATTTAGTAATCTAGTCTCCCCAACAGTGATCGCTTCTCCAGGCTTCTTGGTCTTCCCTCAGCTCTTCCCTTAGAGTGTCTGTGTAAAGTACGTTTTCTCCATTATTGGAGGAAAGGTCCCATCTAGGTATTCACTTCCTCTTTGACTTCAGGGCTCTGTAAGCTGATGCCTAAGAAAGAAAGAAAAATTGTGGGTTGTGGAGGAGGGAAAGTTTAAAGGATGAAGTTATGCTATTCTAGCTCGGAGGACCTTGCTTGTTAGAATCCAGATGTTCAGACATCAGTAAAGGAGAAGAGACTTTGTCATTCCTTAAGTGTATACTGTGTAAAAATCTCTGTCCAACATCTCGCACACCCTGTGCTTTCTCCATCTTTCTCAGCACTTGCTTTATTTAGGGTTCACTGAGTCTCCAAAATTTACTGGCCGTTGCCCAATTTTATCCCCGTAGACTGTATTTTGGAACCTATAGTCCTGGAATCTTGTAGAAAGAGTCTGTTTTTGTTTTGTTTTGTTTTGTTTTAAGTTGGGATGTGATTTGTATCAGAGAGTCTTTGAAGCTCCCAGTACTAAATACTGTTGTTTGAGTTCTTAGGGCTGTTTTAAAAACTGTATTATTTGTTTGAGAGTAAAGTATTTGACTTTTTAACTGTTGTCCAAATTTGGCAAATAGTTGTTAAGCTTTATTTTGACAGGTATTGTTAAATAATATATTGTTCAGCCTTTCTGTATTTTCTATAAGATGTGTATATTAGTCTTTCAGAACCGAAGTTGGTCATTATCAACTTTGTCTGCTAGGTGGCAGTACTATACCTAGTCTTTTAAAATACATTGTACGTAACTCATAATTTATCCAAATCTTCACTGTAGTTATGATTTTAGATGGCAGTTTGGCAAGTCTTTATCCAGTGGTACTCTGCATTGTTTTTTCATTTGATTACTTAAGCCCACTTAATATCCAAATTTATTGTTTGATCTCTTGGTTCATTTTTGAGGTATTTGAATGTCTTGCGTATAAATACTTAAAATAATTTTGTTCATCAAAATTACAAAAGGAGTAAAAGAATTGTCGTTATCACAATGATAGAAAACTGTAAGCTTTAAAAAATTATGTTCAATTTACATATCTCAGAGTCCAAAGTTTATCTTATTTTATGGAATATTGTAAGTCTTGTAAGTCTTTGGGGAAATCACACATAGATATGTGTGTGTGTGTGTAAATTTTTATGTGTGTATACTTCAGATCAAGATTTAGACCACTGTCAGCACCCCTGAAGGCCTCTCGCATTCCCGCTTCCAGCTAGTATGCCTCAGAGGGTAGTGGCTCTCCTGATCTGTGTCACAGAGATTAGTCACACCTGTGCTTGATCTGAACGGACTCTTACAGTATATACCCTCTCAAATCATCCCACCCTCACCCTCTCCCACAGAGTCCAAAAGACTGTTCTTTACATCTGTGTCTCTTCTGTCTCACATATAGGGTCATTGTTACCATCTTTCTAAATTCCACATATATGTGTTAGTATACTGTATTGGTGTTTTTCTTTCTGACTAAACTTCACTCTGTATAATAGGCTCTAGTTTCATCCACCTCATTAGAACTGATTCGAATGCATTCTTTTTAATAATGCCAGGTTTTCTTAACCCAACTTCAAAACAGTCTAATAATAAGTCAGCTAAAGTTTCTTTATCTACTGTATGTGAGTGGTTTATTTCAGAGGAACTGGGCACAGTGAAGTAAATGGAATATGAAAATTGTGATCTCTTTAGAGACACATAATGTATCCATGGCAAAGCCAAAAATTCATTTATAATTTCACACCTCTCAGTACTGCGTTTTCCACAGTAGCTCATGCTACTTTCTTACTAGCATGATTAGAAAGGTATTAATAAGTTTAAAAGTGTCTCATGTTAAAATAATGAATGTACTCAGGTCCATAGTGCTCAATAGAGATTTTATCAAGGAGTAGTCAAGTTGAAATGTATATTGGAGGCTTCTGATTCATATTTCAGAAACACAGAAAGTAATAGATAGTTCTTAAGGTCAATTATATTTTAAAATTAAAACTTATTATTCAGGAAGACAAATTAATGAGTGCTTTTTTGGGGAAAAATATTACTTTTTAAACAATATTCTTCACCATTCAGAAAGAATTGAAGTTGCAAGTATAGAAGTTACATGTTTATTTTAAAGGCTCCAATTTATTTTGAAAATTTTTGGATAGAGATTGTGATTGCATAATAAAAATTAGTGATTTGATTATTTTATTGGCCAAACAAACTGATGTAGATAAATTTAAAGTCATACAGATGTAAATCATCTCTGACTAGGTAAATTGATAATAAATAATTGAGATATAGTTTTGTCACACAGCCATCGCTCAAAACTCCCAACTGTTGAAATTATCTTGTTAGATTATTTTAAAGTTGGTCATAATTTTAGTTATAAAAAGAAAAATTAAGTAGACTTTCAGCAAAATTGGCTGTCGAAATTTAAAAGACATCTAATTC